TTAGTCATCATGATGGCTCCTGCAGCACACAAATGCTATCACACGGTAGGGGATAAATAACTCCTGATGATTAATTAATGAGCACACTCATTGAAACTCAACCCCAAAAGCAGGGTGCTGAAGACCCTAAGAGTTCTCCCACAGCCTGTGTTCTTCCACCATTCTCTCTTTTTTTATTTATTTTTATTTTTTTTTCATTTTTTTTCTTTTAGTATTCATATGTGCATACACGCAACTAAGAGGTAGCATAGATAAATGGGACCTCATAAAGATAAAAAGCTTCTGTTCATCAAAAGAAATGGTCTCTAAACTGAAGAGAACACCCACAGAGTGGGAGAAAATATTTGTCAACTATACATCAGACAAAGGACTGATAACCAGAATATATAGGGAACTTAAAAAACTAAATTCTCCCACCATTGTCTCTGTGGGAAATGGACCAACCCCTATTATTTCAGTGACACAAAAGAGGGTGTGAAGTCTCCCTGGGGGAGGTGGTGTTCTCTAGACTCTGAGTCACTGAATTCTTGATCTTCAGTGAGACCAATCAGACCCTCAGGATTTATCAGGTATGGTAGCTATCTTATGCATTAACTAGGCCAGGCCAAAATACCCAGCTATAGTTGGTCAAGAAATTTAAGTGTTTTAGTGAAGATACTATTTTGAAGAGACTAACATTAAAATCATTACATTCAGAGTAAAGCAAATGACCTCCCATATTATGAGTGGCCCTCATCCAATCAGTGGAAGGCCTTAGTAGAAAAAGTCTGACCTCCCCACAAAAGCAGGAATTCTGCCAAGAGACTGCCTTTGAATTTGAATGCAACTCTTCCCTAGGTCTCAGTCTACCAGTCAGCCCTGAACTTGCTTGCCAAAAATCCTTAAAATAGACTCCTCTTCCTCTCTCAACTTCTCTCTCTCTCCCTCTCTGTCTCACTCACTTTCTTTCTTCTCCTTTCCCTCCCTCTAAGAGATGTCATCACATTTCCTGAATTAAAACTCAAGCTTTTACCAGAGACTTCACACACACACTCATATCTATGACAGAGAGGGAATGGGGGCACATAGGTCTTTGTAGCTCTTTCTCTGGAGCAGCTGGGCCAGTACATTGTATTATGCCAGTTGTCCCTGCTATATGTGGCAGCATTAAGTCATCACAGTAAAAGCAGCAAAAAAAAGACTGAACGAGCTCTCTTGGAAGATTCTATGCAATTCTCTTACTACTCCTTGAAAAACTAAGGGCCAAGAAGGGCGAGTGGCTGGCTCAAGGTCACACATCAGGTTAGTATTGAAGCCTAGAAGGGAACAACATTTAAGACTCATCATTTAATGTCTCACCCAAAGACCACATTTGGGGCTATTGTACCAATAATTCATTTAATTATGCAGATAACTGAAAAATAATAATATCACCAGAGGGTTTTCACATTTTTGTGCCAAGCTCTATGCTCAAGGTTCTTAAAAGGTTATTTTATTTAATCCTCTCAGCAGCCCATGAGGCTGGCTTTAGAACCCCCTTCAAGAGATAAACCAACAGTCAGAGTGGAGTAAATAATTCTTCGAGGGCAAAGCTGCTGACGTGAGATGGGAAGGCGCACAAGCCCTGGAGCCACCAACTCAAAACACAAAGGTCTAGATGCCAAAGGAGCAGCAGGAAGGAATGTGGCCACAGGAGACAGGGGCTTGGGATGCATATTGTGTCATACCTACCTTCCCATGATGTTTTGTGCCAACTAGCTCTATTTTGCAAACACCTCTGCCAGAGAGGGCTCATGGAGGAGGGTGAGGGGCACTCTCTAATCCCTGCAGCTGATCACAGTCTGGGCGGATTCCAATGCTGCTTGCTAATTTTCTGGCTTCTTGGGGATTTGGACACACAACTCCCAGAAGGATGAGGGAGTGCAGTGGAATCTTCACTTGGCAGCCCTGCCTGGTGGGAAGACACAGGCTGGGCACACAGCATCGAATCCACATAATTGGATGAGGCCCAAATGGAAAATGCACAGAAAAGAATCAAGTCCTGAAAATAACCCATTGAGCTAAAGTGCCATGAGCGAGTCCAATTCCAAACACCCACAAACAAACCATTCTGTCTGACTTTTATGAAAGACAGACATGTCTGCTTTGACACACATACCCAGAAATAGCCAAGGAAAGAAAGGGAGGAAAAAAAATCACTGCATTGTACCACGTGCCTGCTGACTCTTTTCCTGTAACATTTTTATGCATACTAATTCCTGAAATCCTCCTTAAAGAAAGATATTATCCCATTTCATCGTTGAGGAAACTGAGTTTTCACAAGTGTAAGTTCTGTCAACTCATGTAATTTTAATCATAAGCAGGTATTTGAATCCAAACTCTTCTCTAGGCCATGTTAGGACAGTCTCACATGTACAGTGGGGTGGATCATGGTCAGATATGTCATCTGCAGTAGAGGTCATGGGCCGAAATGATCTACATGTTCCCCACCCCACCCCGCCCAGGTCTAGGTTCTCTGTAATAGCCCAGGGGGCCTCATGTGGCACTCTCATGCCAATGCAGACATCCATCATTCTAAAACTCTCTCCCATTAGTTTCTGTCCACATAAAACAATGAGCATCTGTGTGGCTTAGCTCGCAGGCCATTCAGTTGAATCCAATTCACACACTTGAACCAATCAGTCATTCAACACACATTTCTTAAACACTTATGTTGTGTGCCAGGCATGGTGATATGTACTGGGGAAGTGAGGCTAAAGGAGATGGTCTCTGCCTCCAGTCAGTGAGAGCCAATGTATAGGAAAGCCAGGGATTCCTACAGCATTTGGGAACAAGTCTCATTTCCTCGGAAATCAGAGAGTAATTCTCAGCAGCAGTGTTATCTGAACACATGTTGAGGATGTGCAGTGAGTTGAGCATCAGAGTTACTGCAGGGCAGACAGTTTATCATAATCCTTTCCATATGCTTTGGTGGCACCAGCTAAGGGCCTAAAGCATGGGATGCTAGTGTTGAAGATGCTTTGAACTGAAATGTAACCATTGACAGTCACAAATGTCCCAGGCCATGTCACTCAGCAGACAGTCTGAGCTGAAGATTCTCTGCTGGTAGGTCTGCCTGCTGGGGAGACTGTCCAGGCCAGTGCATTGTGGGGTATGAGAGAGAAGAGCTGGGTGGGGGAAAAGTTAGACTGTGATGCATTCACAGAAAATGTTTCACCCAATGCCAGGGGAATTCTAAAGAGTGACTGGTCCTACAGAGTCAGTTATCAGCGCTCCAGCAGCAAGGGTGTGGGAGATGACCTAGAGGCATACCACACATCTACTGTAGGATAAGGGCTCTGCTGTTGCCCTTGAGGATGGAGAGCCTTTTCTCCTTGCCTCATACTGTGCTGTAGCACTAAGACACTGTGCATAGGAGGTAACAGAGAGGGGCCAACCTCATGATGTCAGGTTCCCTGCTGTCCAATCTCTCCCTCACTCATTCATAAGTACAATATTGGTACTCGGGATACCAAGTTCTGAGAAGCTCAGTGGTTGACAGAATTCCTGCTTGTGTAGGTCATTAGACTCCATTCCTAAACTGGTCCTATTTGACTTTTATGTCTGCTCTTTGTGTGACACCAAACCCCATTCTAGTTTCAGGCCCCAAGTCTTAGTAGCCCTCATCTTTGTTCTTCATGATCACAAGAACATGTGACAGAGCAACTTGACCTTGATGGGGATATAGCTTGGGCAGCTTTTAGATATCTCCTGGTTGGGTCTTAGAACTGGGAAAGATGGTATCGTGGGAAAACAAGGTGAGTGCGTTACCTGCTATTCTGAATAGTCTGGGCACAGAGAGTCCAGCTCTGTGAACCTGGAGTACCTCTTTTGGGGAGCTAGCGGAGCACAAAAAGCCTTTCACATTCATGTCATGATTACTCTTATGTATCAACTTGTATGGGCCGCAAAGTGTCCAGATACTCAATGTCTGTGAGGGTTTTTTCCTCTCTTTCTCCATGAAGATTTTTCTGAATGAGATCAGTGTTTAACTGATAGATTGAGTAAAACAGACTGCACTACCTAATATGGATGGAATTCATCCAATCCAGTGAGGGTCTGAATAGAATAAAAGTGAGAGTAAGCCAATGAAGGACAAGTTTGGCTCTCTTACTGTTGCTGATCTGCGACATCGGTTTTTTCCCGCATTTGTACTTACACTTGGATTATAACACCATCAACTCTCCCGTGTCTCTAGACTGCTGAATACAGATCTGGAGACTTCTCAGCCTCCGTAATTGTATGAGCTAATTCCTTATGGTAAGGAAGAATTCCAACACACTGGTTTTGTTTCTCTGGTAACTGAATAATTCAGGCTGATTATTTCTGTGCAGGCCACCAATAAAAAGACATCACATGTGGCTTAAGAGAAATATGGAAAATTGTAGTATACATGGCCAACCTGCACATCACAGAATAACAGTTGAAGTCTCCTTGTGGGAAGAAGGAATAAGAAGGATCTATTAATAAATAGGCATATTTATTAAGTGACTACTGAACACTAGCTACTGGGCTAAGATCTTTACATTCACATCAACATTGGATACACATACCTCTGTAACATTATTAATTGTTAGTGATCCCACTCTATGGGTGTGGAAACTGATGCTCAGAGAGTGAACAAATCAATGATGGAACCAGGTTTTGAAAGCAGGCATGACTCAATGCCAACAGGCTTTAGTGTTGTCACACAGTCTTAGGGAAGCCCCCTCACAACATAGTCTCCAAAGGGACCACATGTAAGAGGTGCTATCTTAGGACCATATTCAGTGTATCTACTGTAAGGCTTGGCATTCGGAATGAGTTTGAGAAATGCTGCAATGATGAAGAGAATGATGGATGGATAGTGAGGGAAAGGGATAAACACAGCAAAGACTCTCACGGTGGGGTGGGGCATTTGAAAGAAGTGGGGATCTCATAGAACACACATTGCAAAGTGAGGTTTGTGGGCCACCGGGCCTTTGAACCAGTGCAGACATTACCTCCGAGGAAGTCGGCTTGCAGTATCCAGCTCCAAAGACCAGGTTTTCCAGAGAAATGATGGACTGCTCTTGTCCTGCCTCTGGGCCTCCTTTACCAAGCCAGGAGCCTCTTCCCGGACGAGTAAAACTAGAAAGAAGAAAAGTGAAGGGAGAGAAACAGGGTGTAGAGAAAGCAATGGTGACAATGCTTTGGCCCCCTTGAGGGGTGTTCCTGGGGAGCCCATGAAGTAGATTTACAAGGAGAAGTTAGCTCCTGAGGGTGTGTGTGGACAGAATATTTTGAATGTTGTGATTGACTAGGGGATCCAACCGGCAGGTAAGCTTGGGAACCATAGACGATACACATCCTACAATTGTACAAAAAGATGCTCACCCTAAATGCCAAGAGCACGCCTGTTGAGAGATACTGAGGTTGAAGTCCAAGGCTGTGTCAACCAGAGGGGTGAGATGAAGAGGTTCCTGACCAGAAGCAGAAGAGCAGGCCCAACTACATATGCTCTGACTCCTGTGTCTGCTCCTTATGGGCATCACCAGGAGTGAGCTCCTCTCACCCTTTGTTCCTTCCCAGAACTTGTTTGCCTTTCTATGGAAGAAATAGTATCTACCTCCACGATTCATATGAGAGTCAAGCAGAATGTCAAAGGCTTTCACAACTGACAAAGCACTCCCTATACCTGTGCTAACTGAGAATATTGTAATCTGTTCAACAAATAAACACAAGGATTCTGTCCAGCTCTGTGATTCACTGTAATGATCAGCTGACACGGTATGCTGGCAACAATCGATTTTAGGAAAGGCAATGTGATCGTGAGACTATCTTACTAGGGTTTGCTGTCAACTCCCCTGCCTTAACCTTTTTAATTTTCATCAATTATCATTGTTTTCCTTCCTTTCAGACCTCATTTACCAAATAACCTAAGAGTTCATTATTTCATATTATTATTCATATTGTTATTAATATTTCATAGGTATGTTTTAACCCCCCAGGCAGATTTAAGGTCTCTGATAGCAAACAGAATTTTGACAATAAATAGCCATAGGTGACATCATCTTTACCATACTTCTCAAGAGAACCGTGGTGAGCTTTACCCAAGAGACCTAAGTTCCTGTCTAAAACAGTGACAGGGAAATAAAGTTCATATTCTGTTCCTGTTTAATTCATTTATCCAACTATTAGGCTTATGCTACATTCCAGACCATGGGTCTAGGGTGAAAGGTGATGGATGTGTGGCTATCCCCTTAAAGACACATTAACTGAGGGAGGAAGGCAGACAAACAATAGGCAGAATGGCAACAGAGGTAAACTGAGGCTGGTGAGCAGAGAAGAGCAGCTTACTAACAAGCTCTGTGAAAAGGATGAATAGTCAGAAGTAGTCAGAAGTGGCACTCAAGGAGGATGTGGCCAGTAGTAAGGGGTGCAGCCATGAATGCTATCTGTCAGGCCAGGCAACATCCTCTCAGCAGCCTACACACTGTGAGACACAGGCAAGGTTTCAGCCTCCACTGCTTCTGTCTTCCCATCTGTTAGATGGTTGTAACACACGTGAAATGTGTGGTGGATGTGAAGCTTTAAGTACAAAGTGCAGCAAAGAGTGATGATGTGATAAGTGTAGTAACTATGGTTGATAATATAATATATATTTATTATAAATCATTATTACATACATAATAATTATACAAAATATATTCACATATATATTATACACATAAACAAATCATTACATACAGAATAATTATTTTATGTATGTAATGATATATGATTATATATAAAATGATTTTATGTGTATTATCAATAGTAACTCTCTCTCTGTATATATAGAGAGAGAGCAATCATACATACATATGTATATCTATCACTATTGTTGACAATATCACAATTACAGTCAAACTTCCTTATCCTTGGTTCCACAGATTCAACCAACCATGGGTTGAAAATATTCAGAAAACAAAGTGTCTATATTGAATATGTACAGATTTTTCTTATAATTAAACAGCAAAGTGATCAAACAATAAGGTATAATAAGTATCTACTTATCATTTACACTGTATTAAATGTTATAAGTAGTATAGAAATGGCTTAAGATAGAGTAATCCCACCTTACTCCCAGATTTATCATACACATTTTTGATATAGTCAAAAAATAATAATTAAATTAAAAAAAACAAAGACTGGCAGAATGGCTCAAATGTCAAAGCACGTGCCTAGTAAGCACCAGACCTGAGTTCAAACCCCAGTACTACCACCCAAAAAAAGAAATTTCAAAAAGAAAAATTTTAAATTCTTATGCTTGCATTGCACAGCTCAGTTGAAGCTCTCAAGCAGTCAGTTCTGTGTTATTATCAGTTGTGTTTAAGTTACATGTGACCTACCAAATGCTTCCCTGCACTTAATTTTGTGCAAACATGCCTCCCCAAAAGCAAATAATGCCCCATAAGCAAGGTAAGCTACTGCACTTAATTGAAGTGATCAAATGAAAATTTGAGATTTGCTGAAAGGCAGAGTATCTTTAGTGCAAGTTGGGCACCATTACAGGAAAAAATGAATCAAGCACCCACAGTACAGTACTGAACTCCATGCATCCCGAGTCTTCGCAACTTTTCCTCAGTGATGGTCTCCTGGGAACCATTTACCCATAGATCCCAATAATCTACTCTATACCAGAGGATGTACATAGGTATATGCGAACACCATTCCATTTTATATGAGTCTTGAGCATCCACAGATTTTGGTACCTGAGGGGGACCTGGAACCAAACTTCAACTCTTTACAAAGGCATAACTGTATAATATAGTATTATCATAATTCTGATTTGGTTTGAATCAAGAGTTGAAGTTGGCTTACCACTCAGCTGGAAGATGGGTAAAAGGAACATTCTAGAATTAAAGTACAACAGGTCTGTGTATACAGGGTAAAGATTACAAACCAATAACTGTAATACTTGTTATTTACTTAAGTGTTATTTACTCTAATTAGCTTTCCAGTTAATGGGTATCCATCTGGAGAAAATCAGCTATAGCCATATGAGGGTTAAAAGTTAGATTTCTTTTCTTCAGTCTGTCTCAGTAAAGGCAGAAGGTCTTTTTAGGTTAAGCTTAAATTTTACCCTGCTCCATACTTATTGGATCTAACAGATGCTGTGAAAACCTGCTTTTCTGGGAAAGGTAGTGCTTGCCCTATTTTACAGGTATTTCCCACAAGCTTAAAGGGTTCCCTTTGTTCTAGCTACTGTGAACTAAGACAAACTCTTCCTGTAGAACCTAGAGAGCAGAAAAGAGGTCTATTTTTACTCTATCCATGAAGAAGTTCAAGCTCTCACTGCAGTTCTCTTTGCTCCTCTCCTAAAAGGCTGTTGCAGATAGTCTCAGGAGAGTGTTCCCCATCAGGTCAAATGTTCTGCTAAGATTCCCCAGCTCCTCAAATCCTCAGCAAGATAACACCAAGACTCCCAACAGCCACAGAGTGAACCTGGTCCCCATGGCTGCTTCAGGGGGTCTGATACCTGTCTCCTCCCTAAGCCTCCTGCCTCCACTTTCATTAACTTCCAGCTCAGCCCACCTCAGCTGCTGGAGGGATTTTGAGAGAACACAAGACTTTTGGGGCGATTGGAGTGTTCTCCTGCTCCAAATGTCAATGCTTCCTTAACACAACAAATGGATTTTCAATTCCTTAATGCATCATTAATTATGTCATTAAAAGCTAGCTACAGTTTACCCTCCCAAATTCATTTTTCACTATCACAGTCTCTTGTTGCCTGGCTGGAGCACAAAGGCCATTTTTTTTGGGAAAATTTCCCTTCAAGTCTCAAGCAGAAACGCTTTTCTCCAACCTAAGAGAAACTCACCATTTACTAAGTACTTATCAGTGCTAGATACCTGCCCAAGACCAGGGTCTGGGTTATGGTATCTGCTAAACAAAAATTTTTCTATTGAATGCATGACCAAGGGTTTCCCATGCACTATCTCATTTAATCCTTCTAATAGTCTCCAGGTGCACACTGAAACTGAAGCCCACAGAGTAAACAAGCAGGGCTCAAAGTTGCCACCTCAGAGAAAAAAGCATGCCAGTCCATGATTTTAACACCTGCCCAACACTGCACTCCCTGATACTTTGCACAACCCTCTGTTTACCAGATGAATTGGAGCTCACAGCATATAAGCCTTTTAATGTCAGATCTCTGATCTATTCATCTCTGAACTTCCAAGGTCTATTCTTCTAGAATTGTCTCAAGCTCAGTCACTTGCCTTGAATCAAGCATGTTCTCACCATGTGAGATGCTCTATGCTCCATTTCATTTCACCAACAGATCATCCTTGTTGGTTTAGTATCACCCCCTATTTTAAAAATATTCTCTCTGTCTACTTCTTTGTATGTTTGTTTTTATGCTTACATGTTGAAATGGAAGTTTAGAGAAGTTAGTGATGTATCCAAAGATTCCCAGAAAACAAGTGATGGCGCTAGACAGTAAGATAGCTCTGACTCTAGCTTTAGAGGGACACTTCACTCTTGACTCCAGAACCATCTGGAAAGGTGCTTCCTTTCCTACTTGGGTGGCTACCTGGCCTCCAGCAGGACAACCCTCTTATCCTAGGATACAGCCTTTGGCCATCAGTTTTGCTTTGTCAGCCTCTGTGATGGCAAACTAATACCACCATGAACCCTGCACTGAGGAATTTTTGCCAATCCTCAATGAGCAAACAGCTGGAGAATATGCTTTTCAAGACAATAGTACTCTGCTACTTTCTGGATTCCATTTTTCCTTATCTACCCAAAGTCAGGTCTGCTTTCCTGTATTCCTGTAATGATGGATCTTCCAGCATTTTTAAAAGTCAGACTCTCTTATAACAGCTTTACTATGTTATAATTCCATATATGCAGATCAGGGGCTGAGGGGCATAACTTAAGTGGTAGAACATCTACTAGCAAGCATAAGGACCTGAATTCAATCCCCAGTACCACCAAAAAAAGAAAGAAGAAATATACAGATAATACCACTGTACAACAGGAAACCATATATGCAGATTGGTCCACTCCACTGCACCATGAGCTCTCTAAAGATCTCTTCAGAGAACGCTACTATATGTCCCATAGCAGCGTGCACTGTGTAGATCTTGACATCCTTCATGGAGCACAGCAAGCCTTCAATAAGTACCTACCCAATGGAAGAAGAATGAGAGCCCTGTGGACCCACTGATCCATGTGTATCCTTTATCTTCAGAACCCAGTTTTCATTGAGGATGCCAATCAATGACCGGAAACTCTCCAAAAGCTCAGTAGAACACAGAGCACCATGTACTACCTGACCTTAGCCCATGGCTCCAGGATTGGAGTTGCTTCTTGCCAGCTGTCTGCACTCCTCAGTTCCCCATTCTCTTAGCTCCTGATGTGTGCTCTCATTTTACCTCTTGTGTGAGATTTCCTTCTGCCACAAGCTAAAACTACTCCAAACCTTCTCCTATGTAACCCAGTTTTGCCTTTTCAGACTCCATCTCACCTTGCCCACTAGCCACCTACTCTACTTGGGCAGCACTTCTCAGTCTCTCGATTCTAATTATTTAATACATATCTGGCATCTTTACTAGTCTTGGTCAGTATCTGAAATTGCCACATGGCCACAATGACCAGTTCAAAATGTCCAGGGTCAGAGTTGATTAGGAGCCATATCCCATGGCTTAATATGGGTATCTCATGTCCTACTCACAGACCTCAGCAGAGAACAGCGGGCGCTAGGCCCCTGACAGCAATATTTGTGAGGACTCAACCTCACATGCATTTAAATTCTCAATACCTAGGAGCTGTCCCAAAAAGGAGCACTGGGACAAATTTCTTCCAAAACTCTATGTTACAAGATTCTGACCCTAAATATCCCATTGCACATGTGCATCATTTGCCCATATGCATGCATGATGTTTTGGATAACCTAAATGTACACATTTGGTCACACTGAGATTGTGAAAGGCCATGTGTCACATACTGTACTAGTTATTGTCAGTCCTGTCAACCCAGTTATAGAATTAATAAGTACTTCCCAGGACGTTGGAGGTGTTCTGAAGCAAGTTACTGAAGGGCAAAAGCAAAAGATCTCATAAGTGAACCTGCACGTTAACAAGTAACAACTGGAGAGAAGAGTCAGGATGGAACCCCTGCCCCATACCTAGCCCTATCTTCACTAAAACTTTATGTAGATGAGACACTTTAGTGCTCTAGTTTTAGAGAAACACTTAGAATAAAGTGAATCCAGCTGAAGAATCCAAGTCCTCTCAGTGTGAGCCATAGTTCGCTGGTCTTCACCTCCTAGGCTCTACCACTGTCTGCCTCATTCTGGATCCTCTATCCAACCTCTTCCCCACCTCTTCTGCTCCTCTCAGCAAGGCTCAAGCCTACACCCACAGCATTAGAGAAGCTTCTTTGGTCTTGGCTGACCTCCCATAGAAAACTCTGGGCATCCCAGCCACCCTGGTGATAGAAGGTGGGTCTCCATGCCCCAGGGCTGACCCTAACTTCATACCTGATCAGGGGCTGCTGCAGAGCCACCAAGGCAGCATGAATGGTCACTGAGATCACCGACAGGTGGAAGTAGTCGAACATGACAGGGACCTGGTGGTGTAGACCCCTCCGAGGGTGGAAGTGCAGACCAAGTGTACGACTGCTGATCATTGGTGCACCAGCTACATCCCTCAGCCTGAAAGGCAAGTCAGTGATACATGAGTGACAGTGGGTTGTCCCTGCTGTCATCTAAACAGGTCCACAATGCAGGCTGTCCATGGATTGAGTGCTGGACATGCATTGCCTTATTCAGTCCTCAAAAATTCTGCCTGGTAGGAACCATTTTTCCCATGATTGTTAAATGAAAAAAATGAAGCTATACTGTGGTTCTCGGACTTAGCTCTGTTGTCACTGACACCAAGCCCACACACTAGCAATGATTATGATGTCCATCCTTCAGTGCTCCAGCCCTCCAGGTCCTCTTTCCCTCCTTATTGCCCCCACAGGCTCCAGCACTGCTCTTACAATGCTCTGCTGACTTGATGAGCCTGTGCTTTTTATTAGATTTCTACTCCTAAGAACAAGAGCTGCAGCTAATTCAGCTGTGCATCTCCAGCACCTCACCAAGAACTGGCATACTGTGAAGTTGGTCAAGCATGTGCTTATTAAGATGAACAACTGATTGACTGAGTGGTCAAAATCATGCATGGCTCCAAAGCTCAATGCTTAAACAGTCTGGCCAGTTTCATGTCCCCTCACCCCATCTCTGCTCTAGCACTTTGTCATGGCTGAATGTCCCATCCTAAGAGACAACCAACTGGCAGGCAAGGCCCAACAGCATTTTTTATTATGAATAGGGACTGATTCTTCTCTAAATAAAAGCCATCATAATTGGCCTCCAGGTGAACCAACAGGAATCGTGACCTCTGGAAAAAACAGTCACACAGCGCTGCAAGTTGTGCTGAAGCAGATTATGTGGAAAACCTCAACGAGCATCTTCCAGGAGTGAAATAGAGAGAGGAAGTTCCTCCCTCCACAGGTGAGGAAAGAGGGAATGGGGAGGGGAGGTGATGGGAGGTGACTCCTGCTGCTTAGAATCTTTGTTTCTTGTGTGCAAATGAATCCAAGTATGAGACCCCCCCAAATACCTGGGACCCCATGTGACTCCACAAACCAACTACATGGAACAGACTTGTTGTTCACAAGAAGGAAACCTGGCCAGGAGAGGTTAAGGAATCCACCCCAAATCTCAGAAAGTGGTTGCCACTTATATTTACTTTAATTCAGACAATAATTCATGGGGGCCTTACTATAAAATGGACATGTTGCCTTTCCCCTTTCTCTGTAAAACTCTCATGAGATATTTACTAACATTATTCCATGTTTAGAAGCAGAAGTAAAGTCAATGTGAGTCAGTTAACTTATTCAAAGTCACAAGGCAAAATCAAAATGCTATATTAGGTCTTTTTTATTCCAGTCTGTTCTGAGTTACTGCTCAGTATTGCTTTGAGTCCATTCAGACACAGCCCCCTGGGAGTCACAAAACTATCCATAGGCCATGACCAGCAGGAAGTTAAACATATCTCAGTGTAGCAAAGAGGCAAAAAATGGTAACAAAATTCAAGCCACATGGATAAGAGTAAAGGATTAAAAAGGAGTTCAGACATAGTGAAACACACCTGCCCCAGATATTTGGGAGGCTAAGATAGAAAGATTCAAATTCAAGGCCACCCAGGCAAAAACATGTGACCTTACCTTGTTTTTCCAAAACAAACTAAAAGAAAAGGACTGGAGGCATGTGGCCAACTAGTAGAATGCTTAATTATCAAGCGTGAGGCCCTGAGTACAATCCCCAGTACCACTAAAAATGTTAAAAAGTATTAAGAAGGAAGGAGGTGATTGCTCTTCTGTGCTCTGAAAAGGATATCGCCCTTTCATGGGGACCAAGTTCAGTTCCTGGGGGTAGAGATTCAATTTGAGAATTCAGAAGTAAACCTGACAGCACAGAGAGAAGAATGCCTAGGTTCTTAAAAGGGAAATCACACTGCCAGGGAGAGATTCCAGTATTTACCTGGAGATGAAGGGTTGACTTAAAGAGCTTTCCTTACCTGAACAACAACCTAAACTAGAATTTTTTCTGGGAATCCAAAAGGAATAAAATTGAGGTCAATGATGGGAAGGCACACAAAGATGAATCACTTCATGAAGTAAAACAGAATTTCCTATTTGAGAGAGCTATTTATGGACAAAAAAATGACATGATCAGAAGGAATGAGCTCGTTGGTCCTGTGCAGGCAAATGCTGACGAGACTCTGCAAAGCAGGAAATACAAATGCTAGACCAGGGCAGCTCCACCTGGGCAACATTGACTTTGGACCTGAATAATGCTTTGCTGTGGAGCAGAGCTATCCCATGCATTGTGAAATGTCCAGCAGCATCTCTGGTCTCTAAATACCAGTATCATCTCCACCCGCCCCCCACCCCTCTGGACATGGCTACATGTTCCCAGGGTGTAGAATCATCCCACTACATTGAGTGTCACTGGATGAGACAGTCTTCAAGAGCCCCTGTGACTCTGGTATTAGATGCCAGGCTTATGTATTTTGCTCCCTATTGTTTGCTTCTACATAGTACTAGGGAAGCTGAATGACTTAGTAATGCTTCAAGGCCTAATATCTTCCCCCAGGATATACTACACATGCCTTATCATCCTTAAACTCAATTTATGAAAGTGAAAAAACATGGCATTTCCAATTTTCCCCAGCCTCTGGCTTCCTGCTCCTCTTACCTAATCTTATGTCCCACAAAAGTCCACTGCTGTAGTTGTTATTAAGTGCTTTGTGTTGTAGAAGAGGAAATAACACATTGAAGCCTTCCTTTGCTTGCATCCAGGAAGCCAAAAAAGATGAAGAAGGCATTTATCTAATAGGCTGTACCCTGGCCTGTCACATATGCTGTCTCTCTTAATCTTCATAACAGACCTAATAATGGTGCCCACTGCATAAACAAGACTACTGAGATTTGGGGCAATACAGGGATTTGCTCCATATTTCATACTTGATGAGTATGGAGCCTAAGTTGCTGTAATTTTATACTCTTTTAATAGCTTCCTGTATTCAGTCTCTCCATTAACTCCTCTTTGGCTGGCAAGAGGTATCATTAGCTGTGTACACTCTGGTTTATCAATAAGTTTCTTAAAGAATTATTGGAGAGTTATTTCTGGGCAGTGGCAGGATTCTGTGGCTAATTGGAAATGTCTGCTCTGGAGCGACAGATGAAAGCCTCTGAAGAAAGGAGGCACACGGCATAAGTGGGTTACTGGAATGGTGATGGTAGAGGAGGGCATGAGAACTGGAGAAGCAGGGGCTTTGATTCTGAAAGTAGACATGGGTTTTCTCAATCATCCGCCACTTCACCAAGGGGAAACTGATGCGATGAGAGAAGTGTGTCATGTTAAAGAGAAGTGGCTCACACAGTAATCCTAGCTACTCGGAAGTCAGAGATCAGAAGGAGTGTGGTTCAAGGCAACGCCAGAAAAAAATTCCTAGATGCAGTGTCACATGCCTGTCATCCCAGCTATGCTGGAAAGCTTAAATAGGAAGATTGCAGTCCAGACCAGTATGGATATAAACACAAGACTTTTTAGAAAAGTTATTACAGCGGAAAGGGCTGGGAGTAGGGCTCAAGTGTAGAGTGCTTGCCTTGCAACAAGTTCAAATCACAGAACTATAACCACCCATCCCCCCCAAAAAACATCAAAAACCAGAACAAGAGAGGAATCTGTGGGATTGACCCCAGACACTATTTCAGTATCATGGACAGATCTTTTCACCAGCCTAAGGACTAAGCACCACCAGCTACACTTCAGCACATGTTTAGTCTCAATACCCGCTAGTCATTGTGTCATTTTTTAAATTCAAATCTCTTCTGAGTCAACTTTCCACAATGCGAAAAACCCCAAAAATAATTAGACAGAATTCAGGGGTGAGACAGACCTTGGGAAACAGCAGAAAGTCCTGAGAGGGAGTCCGAATTTGAAGGGATAAGGGAACAGTTCACCAGCATCAACCTATCACCCTCCTGATTCCCCGTTCTCCAAAGGGAAAAGCAAGACACTGAAGGTGTTGTAGGGAACAGACATGAAGGTTGATTTTTGCAGAGGGGTTAGCATGTGCTGAGATTCTGCTAATAGAATGGAAGTGAAAGGAAGTTTACCTCTCTTCACCTTAACCAAGAGAAAGAGGGTTCTCAAGGGAGTTTGCTCTATACCCCTAGAACTGAGGGAACACAGGTTCTAGATTCTGACTTGTCCTACACAAGCCCTCAGGAAAGAAACTGGGAGAGGCTAGAATAGTCCAAGTAACAGAGAGCGGCCTTGGGAGCATGGGTTTCCCATAAATGTGGGATGGAGTTTAGTGACTGTACATTTCCCAGAGCCACATGTAGGTTCTTTGGAGAGATACCTGACTCAAGGAGTTCCTGGAAGACAAAAGTAACCTGGCCATATCAGAAACCTGCAAGGTTGTGGCTGAGTCAGGAGCACATGGGTGTCTAGGGGAGTACATCTTCAAGGAACTTATGAGAATATCCCAAAGGTGATTCAGCATCCACTATATGGAGGAATCTGCTTAACTGATTCCAAGAAGCCAACTATGATTCCTTATATCTTCCCTCATCTTCTCTCTCCTCACTGCACCTGACCCACAAACCATAGTGCAGAAGAAACTTAGGGAATAAATATAAAGGTCCCCATTTTTCCCTTGGCTGAGAGTTCCCCCCCACCAAGAAAACCTGGATCCTGGAGTAGGGTGGAGAAAAGAGGCAATGGAAAGAACCTATAAACTGAACGAGAGTTTAGAATTTTAGTATCACACTTGACTGGGCTGCTTAATGCCTGAGAAAAGGATGGTTTATTTCTTAAAAGAATGTAGAGAGAATAAATAACATGACAGTTCACCCCAGGGCAGGAGGAAGAGGCCATAGAACAAACCTGGAGGAAGCAGTGATAGGAAAGAAGAGAGCTGCCTCCTGCTTATTTAATCAGCAGGTTATACATAAATGGATTTTCAATTTTCAGAGAGTTGAAATACAATAGCAGACATTCAATACAAAGATGTAGAAACCTGGCAGAAGTTCCTTTCATTCAGAAGGGCTTTGAGTTTTATAGCTTCATAGAATCATTACTCTAAAATCCCCAGCAGTGGGGAAGGGATGGAGAAAGACAACATGTCACCACAATTCAAGGATTTTCCCCAACACTCACTGCTGTTCACTGTCTGTAAAGTGTAGGTCCACCTTGAGCTGAAACTCGACTTCACTCAGTGCATCTTCCACCTGCAAGAGAAACAAAGTCCAAGAGAATTTAGAACTCAACTTCTGTTCAAATGAAATATCTGGCAAATCCATTTCCCAAAGTAGAAAAACACAATCTCACCACAAAATCAATGCCATTTATGCATGCACATTTTGCAGAGTTCTGGATGAACATGATACCTAAGAGTGTTGCATGGAAGATGAAAACAAAGCCTCTATGTAGCCAGCTTGGGAAAAGCCCAGTTTCAAAAACCATTAAACATGTTTCCTTATTGTAGGACTTTTGAAAACTTCATTTCCCAAATGACTTCATCTGGAATTCTTTTAGGCAGGAGTTAGTTGTTCTGTAGTGCCTACTAGAGAAAGCAGTGAAGACCAACTTTGCCAGTGATGGGATAAAGTCAAAGGTGAAGCTACCACTGACCCTCTAGTACCATGTGTGGCAGGCACCGTCATCCACATGTGCAGAGGTAGAAGCTGATGACAAGGAAAGTGAGGTCATTCCAAACATGACTCAAGTTCATAGTTAAGCAAATCCTTCAGTTTTGCCTTGAGAGTCATTACATTTAACCATTTGCACTATGAGATCCTTCCCTTAAACATTTCATTTCCTTTCACCTTGAGCTTTAAAAGAAGTATGTGCTTGTTATATACACCCTAAAAGTGGTACCTCCAGTTCTTTTCTCACATTCAAGGGGGATTTGCATGCTAAATACCAGATTGCACCACTGTCTCTTCTCAACTGGTCTTCACAGAATAAGCACTGCACATACATAACTGGACCTAGTCTCCTCTGCACTCCCAAACTGTTTGGGGCCTTTCTCTTCTGTAAACCACTAAGCCCTGCTTCTTTTTACTTATAGCATTTAACACTTCTGATTAAAATAGTTTGTAGTTTATAAGCTGGAGATCCATGAGCCAAGTGTTATCTGCAGATGTGTTTTGCTTGCTCCCCATGGTATTTTAAAAAATGTTTTAAACAAGTTGTAAACATTTAAAATTCAGGTAATTTCACAATTGCATTGCAGTTTTATAGCATCTGGGGAAAAAATTCCTGGATCTGGTAATGCAGAGCTGGTATTTGTTAGCTCTATTTGAATCAGGCAATTCTTGCATCTACCACTGCTTCATTTGAAAATACCTGTCTGACAGGTGTTGGCGAGGATGTGGGGAAAAAGGAACCCTCGTACACTGCTGGTGGGAATGCAAACTAGTACAACCACTCTGGAAAAAATCTGGAGGCTTCTTAAAAATCTTAACATAGATCTGCCATATGATCCAGCAATACCACTCTTGGGGATAGACCCAAAAGACTGTGACACAGGTTACTCCAGAGGCACCTGCACACCCATGTTTATTGCAGCACTATTCACAATAGCCAAGTTATGGAAACAGCCAAGATGCCCCACTACTGATGAATGGATTAAGAAAATGTGGTATTTACACACAATGGAATTTTATGCAGCCATGAAGAAGAATGAAATCTTATCATTCACAAGTAAATGGATGGAACAGGAGAACATCATTCTGAGTGAGGTTAGCCTGACCCAAAAGACCAAAAATCGTATGTTCTTCCTCATATGCAGACATTAGATCAAGGGTAAACACAACAAGGGGACTGGACTTTGATCACATGATAAAGCGAGAGCACACAAGGGAGGTATAAGGATAGGTAAGACACCCAAAAAACTAGATAGCATTTGTTGCCCTCAATACAGAGAAACTAATGCAGAAACTTTAAAGCAACAGAGGCCAATAGGAGAAGGGGACCAGGACCTAGAGAAAAGGTTAGTTCAAGAAGAATTAATATAGAATGTAACACATATGTACAGGAAAGCAATGCAAGTCAACTCCCTGTATAGTTATCCTCATCTGAACTAGAAAAACCCTTGGTCCTTCCTATTATTGCTTATACTCTCTCTTCAACAAAATTAGAGATAAGGGCAAAATAGTTTCTGCCTGGTAGCGAGGGGGGTTGAGGGGAGAGGGAGGGGGCTGAGGGAAAGGGAGAGGCCGGCGGGAAGGGGGGAGAAATGACTCAAACATCGTATGCACATATGAATAAAAGAAATTAAAAAAAAGAAATACCCATCTGGCCTGTGGCTAAATATCCTGGCTATTTTCTTGCCATATGTTCCCACTAATCTGTGTATCATTAAAGGAGTCACTAGTCTTTACTTATTCTTAATCTGTGTATCATTAAGGAGGTACTAGTCTTCACTCATTGTGAACCCCAAGTCCAGGAATAGGTCCTGCTGCACGGAGAGCATTAACACATCTTTGAGGAATAAAGCTTTTCCCCATCCTCACGTTTTTGGTTTTTACTTCTTCGCAAGAACGTGTCCATGCTGCAAGGGACAGAAATCTCCCATCCAAAGGCCTCTTTGGAAATGTCTTCCTGGTTAAGCAAAATTCAGGAAGAAACATATGGATGGAATTTATCTTTAGGTCTTCAGAGTTTAAAATTTGTTGTTAAAAAAAGCATGTAAAAGCTAACATTTTACTGAATCCAAGTGCTATAAATAATTTCCTCTGTAGCTTTGTTTTGCATAATCATGAACCTCACTTCATACACATAACGAAATCAACACAGCCTCTTGCCACTAGTTCCCTAGAAATAAGACTCACAACATAAGTCCTACCAACCACCTTCCAAGCATGCATTTGCCTGGAAAATAAGAACTCACTGTGAGCTCCAGCTTTAAACTTGCTGCAGTTACATAGGAACTGTGGCTACATTGAGCCTGGCTATGACTTCCCCAATGCCTCAGTAAATCTTGCTTGCAAAAATACTCCAGAATGAAGTTACTGTCTTTTCTAACTATTCATTTCATGATTGGTTGTTAATTACCTGTCCTTCACACACACACACACACACACACACACACACACAGAGACGTCTTTCTCTTAGCCAGTCTTATTTCAGTTAAAGACACCACCTCCCTCCAAGGGTCATGTTCTCACCACCAGAAAGAAGTTTTGTATAATAGTGAAAATAATTTTAAAAAGAAGCTAATATTTATAAAAGCACTACATGTGTCAGCCAATAAACTGTCACTGTCATATACTATCATACTTGATTTAGGTAAAATTATGAATGAAGAACTATGCTCTCCCATTTACAAATGTGAAAACTGAGTCTCAGTATGATTAACATCACTTCCATAAGCTCAACTGGTAAGTGAATCCCATATGGCAGATTTTCTCATGGGCTCTGCTTCTCAGGCCTGGTCTTTGTTTAAGGTTACACGTTCTCTCACTGATGGCTTTCAACTCTACATATCACAGATACTCCCTTATGTGCTCCTCCTCCTCCTTCACTTGTCTCCCAAGCTCCAGAAGGCAGCTCTGAAGTCAGGCTGCATTGGTACAAGTCCTGGTTCTACCACTGAGTTAATGTCTTGGTCATTTGTCATGTGTGAAATTGTAGCAGAATAATCACAATTACCCCATAGCACTGCAAGTGTATAAATTAAATTAAATAAGAAAATGTACATAAAATCTTGACAATTCTCAAAAAAGTATTAAGTTAGCAATAAAAGAATTATTACTAGTGGACCTGGGCACATAAAGGACCCATTCTCACACCAACTTCACATGGAGGTCCTATACGCTCCTGAAAAAAAGGTTCTCTGGCATTAGACTGCCTGCACTGGAACTCAGTTCCTGGTTGTATGACTGAGAAAAACAACATCTCTAATTCTCTGTGTCCTCATCGATGGAATGGGATAAATTACAAAGCACGGTGCTGGCCCCATGGCACCCATCTAATAAATGGAAGATGATACTAGTGTTAAGATCATTGCAATGGATACTAAAGCTCAACCTGAGTTTCTATCACTCTGCAATAAAACTTCGCTTCTCCCAACCACACTGGACTATCCGTGGTATTTCCAAGGCCATTTCACATTACGAGCTTTAAGTCAACTTCCATTAACTTTCTTAACTAAACCCAGTTCTGTGGGTTATACTTGGCCATAATTCAGCTCACCCTTTTGCTCTCTATATTTCTGGTCAGCTGTCTCTATCCCTGCTGTGATGCCCATAGACACTCACATGGATGACAGCAGTACCTGTCCTCACCATACCCTTGATTTCATTTCCATATGCATACCCAAATGACCTTTGTGAGCAACAGCTCTTTCTGACTCCCAAAGGCCTCCTGCCTTTAGAACTAGGTAAACATGTGACCTTCAGTTATATCCCTGTGACCTTCAGTCATATCCCTGTGACCTTCAGTTATATCCCTGTGACCTTCAGTCATATCCCTGTACTTCCCCATGCTGTGTCCTCAAACTTCCCTTTTATCTTCGTATCTGCAACACTTCCTATGACACTAGCAATGATGCTATCTTCTCCAAATCTGCCCTCTGCTTTCCTGCTCTTCACTGGGTTCTTATCCTCTGTCTCAGAAGTTCTTAACTTCTTTCCATAGAAGCTCTACCCAGGACTAATTATCCAAACTATCAACTCACTACCTCATGACTCTGCAAAAAATGTCTGAATCACTGGGTCTTGTATAGGCTCAAGAATCTGTATCTTGCACATCTGCCACCAAAGGACTGTGATGGCCATACATCCAGGACTCTTACTCAGGACATGCATTTCTTTTTTAACACTATAAAAATGCAACCTTGTTCACAAAAACTATTTTGATGCAATCTATCCATTTTCCTGGGGTCACTAAACATCTTGTGATTAATCACTGTACCATCTTCACCTTGGTTGCTGTGAGTTTACACTGGATGTGTGAGCTGCCATTAGCAAACATCCAGAGGTATTTGTCCATTTTTATTTTGCTATGTTTACCCCAGACTTTCCTTTGTGCATGTGTGTGTGTGTGTTTGCCTTCTACTTTGGCTCATTCTATTGCTATTTTTTTCCTTTTTTCTGTATTTTATAAGCCTTCCTGGGTATTTTCTAAGTTGTGAGATCTCATGGAATATATAAATAAAATACCCAAACTACTTCCATACTCACTATTTGCCAGTATTATTATTAAGACATCTCAATATACTCCTTATCTGGTAATTAGTTCTCCCCATGGTCTTTTCTAGCACTTATTTGCAATGTCAATGCATGGGCTGAATCTTCTCCAGGTGTGAATTCCCTCTACCATGTGGTAGGTTGTGCTTGATGGATAAATGGCAACTCTATGATGGCACTCTGCAACTCTATTATTCACAATAATTGCTATGTACATTCTTGAACACATTTTTCTGGCCATTAGGCTATAAGAAGTGCTTGATTGTCACAAGCAGATAGATATGCCATGGAAATGAGCTAATGTATCCATTTCAAATACACAATTTTTACAAAGATATCCAATTAAATTTAATTATCACTGATTTGGATATAATGATTACTTGTAATATTGTTTGCTTCCATATGGATTCCTAACACAGTAATAAATTGTTAGCTCATAGAGATAATTTGACCTGCAGAAGAAAATATTTCCTGTGAAACAGATTTCCTGTTCAACCTCAGAATGTTTTATGACCTCACAAAGTTAAACTGTTAAGGGAAGGAGCAAGACTCTGTTGGCATTAAGATGAAGTAGCACCAAGTTATCTAATGCATTGATTGAATAGTAAAGCATAAGCCCCCAAACACCAGGGATAGTCTCTTGTTCACTATTTTATCTCCAGCATACACTACATACTTAGTGGGTGCTCAATAAATCTTAGGTAATTAGAAAGATGGATTAGTGAATGAAAACGCAGGAGAACCACCTAAATCACAAAAGATGTGAACAAAATGTCACAGGATGAGAGAGGGGGAAAATATCAGATGCCCAGTATGAGTCCTTATGCATACCACATGGGAGAATGGGAGAAAGAGGACTCTTGAGTTTCATAAAATAGGAGCCCTCTTCCACACCATGAATGGTATTCCATCAGGAAACTATCACCTGGAACGTGGCAGTAGGGATACAGGGTAGGACTGGGGAAGTAAGAACAATGGTATGGACTCCAGAGAGCCCTTAGTCAAACATGTCAATTTGAGGAAGGACAAATTTTTAACCATGGTTTCACAAAGAGAATGAAGTGCCAAGGACCCTGGGCTCTTACTCATGCTGTTCTTCTGTCAACATGACATGTCCTTTCTCTTTCTCTGTCTGATGGACTCTTAGTATATGCATCTGAGAGGCAGTTCCTTTGTAAAATGGTTGACAAGCACCATCTTTGCCATCCCAGACTTCATTTCTGCACCCCTGGTATCCCTTGATTCCTTCCTACATACAGCCAGTGTAGTGCACATCACCTGCCAAGATGCTTGATCATATTTCTGCTTTATTGCTGAGGCATCAACACCTTGAAAGCAGAGGCCCTGTTGCTCTCTTCAATTCCATCTTTTATACAAGAGCCCAACACTGAGCCCTGCAGAAGGCAGATACTTAAGAACATCTGCTGATGAATTCATGGACAGAGTTTTTAAACAGAAGGACACACAGGCAAGTGAGGAGTAAGAGAGATAGTAAGTTAGCCAATGGAGACTTCTTGTGCTTGAGAATTTATGGAGCAAGTAATGAAAGGATCAGTAAAAAATGAATACATAAGTAAGAGCATGAATACTCTAAATCACAATTTCCTGTTATGAGAGGGAACAGTCAGGTGAGGGAACCACCACTTTCCCTGGTGGTAGAGTCACGACTTACCCTTTCACCATCTAAGAGCAAATGAGCTCGGAAGATCACCGCATCATTTATGGGTACCTCTTCATTCCTGTATAAGATCTGGAAGACCCGGCTGTGCACAGTGCTCTCATGGACACAGGCTGAATGCAGGCTGCTGCTCTCTGCAAAACATGAACCAGCAGGAGTCCATAAACTACAATACCATCCTACACCTACAGTCCCAGCAGGTGTCTGTCCTGTTTGGGAAAGTCCTAACCCCAAAATATATTGTAAGTTTCAAAATTTAATCTTAAATTTACTGATGAGTCAGACAACATCATATCAAGATTTGTGTTCACTTGAGTTAGCTTGTATCTCAGAAAAACTTGGTTCAATGTATCACAAGCCATATGAAAGTTGTTTATGGTATGGACAGTGCCTATGGACTGAAATTTTGTGCCTATTAAATTCCTCGCCTGTTCACATGTCCCCTCTGTGAATCCTTGCATAATACCCCCATCCTAGAAGGAGAAGAATAAGGAATTAAGAGGGTATACCCTTCCTTCTACAAAGATTTTTCTAGTGTGCACAGACTCCATCTCTCCTGTAAGATATGATGTGAACACTCTGTCTTGAGTTCTAGGTAAATGGTTTTTTTTTTGGTGATATTAGAATTTGAACTCAGGGCTCTGCACTTGCTAGGCAGGCACTCTACTGCTTGAGCTACCTCTCCAACTTGAAATGTCTAATTCTAACTATACTGCATGACTGTATGTCAAGTTGTTGTTAAAGGAACTTGTTTAGATCTGTGTGCTCCAACAGATCCTAATATACCACAATTTCTAAACACCATTTCAAAGTTGAATTTCAGGAAAACAATGAATTACTGAAACCTTACTACATACACTGACCAGGCTTATTGTGGGGAATAAATAGGTGAATTCCTCCAAACCATTAACACACAAATAGCACAGTCAGAAAAATATGTAAATATTCTGAAATAAATAATAATTATATTTACCTAAGGAAATTATTAATTCATTATAATGCTCAATTATATGGCATTTTACAGCTTCCAAAGTGCTTTCCAAATGATTTCATTTCCTTAATTCTAATAGCAAATTCCTAGGGTAAGTTTTACTACAAATGAAGAGACTAAACCTCAAAAATAAGAGGTAGACATCTTCATATTTCCTTGTTTTAAACTGAATACTGGCATTTCCCCCAAATTCATGCCAAATTCTAATCCCTAATGTGGTGCCTTTTGAAAATTGGGGCCTTTGGGAATTAATTAAGTCACGAGGATAATGTCTTTGTGAATGGAGTTAGTGCCCTATAAAGAAGAGGCCAATTAGCCCCTCGTTCCTGTGAGGATACAATGGGAAGTCACCTATGTGCAAACATGGAAAAGAGCCCTCTCCAGAGCCCAGCAATGATGGCAGCTGATCTCAGACCTCCATCTTCCAGAACTGTGAGCAATAAATTTCTATGTTTATAACCCACCTAGGTTATGGTATCTTGTTCCAGCATCCTGAGTTACGATGTAGTTATATGCAGAGGCATTGTATAGACTCATCCCCACATACAGCTACTTAGTAACTGAGAAAATGAAGCCTACAAAATGAAATTCACTAACTTCCTAGGAAAGGGTCAGTACTAAATAATGCAAAATAGAAAAAAGTAAATAGCATGATTGTAAAAGGAGAAAAAAGCAGCAAGAAAGTCAGTCCAAGTAGCAAAGAAAAACTGTTCAAGTGCTTTGGGCACCAACCCCAAGTAATATAGAATTCCCTAGAAATAGGGACAGAAGATCACAATCATCTCCCAATGCACAGACACATCTAAGTCAACACTTGAATGGCTTCAGAATAGGAAACACAAAGTTTTACTTTACAAAGTGTGTAAAAACCCAGGTTATTCCCAAAACTACTAAGACACTTTGCTCTAATTTGTACTTCATCATGAAGAAAATAAAATCAGAGGTCTAATGCAGCCCTATGGAGACTTGTTGGACTCAAGTCAATATGGTTTTTAAATGCACAATTCCTCCTTGTTTTTATTTGCTGCCCTAGCCATTTCCCTATCTTTATCAGAGCCTGGATGATCTATAAGCCAGACCAGCAACATGGCAGAGGATGGATGAGGTAAATACTCTGAAGGTCAGAGCAGCATGATCCATCTGTTGCCAGGAGGGACAGCCAGCAAAACAGTTCAATCACTTGCCTTTTGGGGAAAGTGACATTACCTTTTATATCAGCAGCTTTCCAGGTGAAAAATGGGCATAGCCACACTTACCTCTTGGGAGTAGTAGAGTAGACATAAAGAAGATAACATGGATAAAGATCCCATGACCTGTCACATAGCAGGCCTGCCATACACACTACCCTGAATTTTCATTTTGTTTAGAGGCAAAGTTCTGAGTGTTTTCTGTAGAATATATTCTATTGGCTATGTCTTTGGAGGAGATAAAACTCCTCTGATTTTGAGCAGATTGGCAAATTAGATCACAGGGCTCCAATGGTGCTGACTAAAGATCAATAAATCCCAAGGTGTACTAATTTAGCCCAGGACAAGGCATTTCTCTCAGGCCCTGTGCAACTTTCTGTATCATTTTCCTATCACTATTAAAGAGGACATGAAACAGGTATCTCTGCAAAGGAAGGCTTATCAATCAACAGACGCTCTTTTAGACTGTGAAAATCATTGAGACTGCACTTACTCGCACTATTCCCATTGACATTTTTCTTTTCTAGTAAAAACCATACAATTTGAATACCTTACCCATTAACTTTGTTCCCTCTTTCTTTTGTGGGGGAGTGGTGGATGGTATTGGTGTTTTGAACTCAGGTCCTTTTGCTTATTAGACAAGCACTGTATCACTTCAGCCATGCTTCCAGCCATTTAGTTATTTTTCAGATAGAGTCTTGCACATTTTGCCCATGCTATCCTTGGACTACATTTTCTTATCTCTTCTTTTTAAGTAACTGGGATTGTAGAAATGAACCACCACACCTGGCTTTTTGTCCCTCTTCTGACATGCTAAAGAAATGCTACTTTTCTATCCTAAGATAAACCACTTCCCAAAATGTATTGCCCTAGTTCTCTTGCTCATTTTGTACATGCTTTCTTGGCAGATGGAAGGGACCAATTTCCATCATATTTACCTCTTCTTCCTCTCAAATACTAGACTTCAAGCACCCAGAGATGAGAACAGTACATTCTCTACCCTTCAAAACCTAACATATACCTTGAGATGTTCCCTGTTCTATTGCGCGAAGAACCACTTTTCTCTCTGGACATTATTAGTTATTATTTGACAACAAGAAATAGATTCCATGTGGTACTATAGGACAATGTACATATTCAAGTCTTCCCAAATATCTTTCTTCTACTTTTGTATGTGTCAGGGTTGGTACCATGCATAAGGAAAGTGAGGACGGACATTAAGGAAATAAAGAGGAAGGTGGAAAGAAAGTGTGTGTGTTAGGGGGAGTATTCAGGAAATAAAAAAGAAGGGGAGTAGAGGAAAGAGAAATGGCAGAGGAGGAAAGGACATCTCTTTAGAGCCCCCTGTACAAAGAATATATTTCAATAGCTTAATCTGGACTTTCAGGCCAGCGAGCAAGAGTATAAACAGCCTAATGTCTTACTGTTTCTCCTATTCCCCAAAATGAATGATATGAATATTAACATATTTACATGTGCTCTAAATGTGTAAGATTCCGATGATCTTTCTCTCCTGAGAGTCCCTGTAGCCCCAGAAGGTTCTGTGAGTATGGCTTGTCAAGGACAGGTGCTGTACACCTGATATGAACCCTATGCACCAGCATCCAAGACAGAGGCAACTTTACAGGCATTTACTTGTAGACTGACTGCCAATTCCTTGGGGTTACTAAACCCTTTCCCAAAGTACTCTCCAAAAAGGAAATCTTCATAATTTCATGAATTTCTGTGATCCCCATAAAAATTATGCAATGGCTGAACTCCTAAAATGGAAATTTTTTAAGTAAAAGGAAGATGAGTAAAAAGACATTCTCACTCAGGAGAATTTCAAATTGTATCTTCTTGTGTTGCTGAGCTTTCAGATGCACATAAGAAAAAAATGTACAAAGGAAAGATGAGGTTTGTAAAAAGATGGCTACTCCTCCAGGCATAAAGGCCCTGCACATAGCTATTGGTGATTGAAAAAACAACCCTAAATTTCATTTAGAAACACAAAAGACCACAAGTAACCAAGGCAATACTGAATGAAAAGAGCAATGGAGGTATCACAATACCCAGCTTCAAACTATACTACAGAGCCATAGCAATAAAAACAGCATGGTACTGGCACAAAAACAGATATGAAAACCAGTAGAACAGAATAGAAGACCCAGATATGAATCCATGCAGCTACACTCACTTGATATTTGACAAAAATGCCAAAAACATATGATGGAGGCAAAACAGCCTCTTCAACAAATGCTGTTGGGAAAACTAGATATCTGCATTGAAATATCTAGTCTTTCATCCTGTACTAGTATCAACTCAAAGTGGATTAAGGACCTTAATATAAGACCTGAAATTTTGAAACTAGTGCTTGAAAGAGCTGGGAACACACTGGAATTAATAGGCACAGGCAATGACTTCTTAAATAGAATTCAAATGGCTCAGCTATTAAGAGATAGGATTGACAAATGGTACTACATGAAATTAAAAAGCTTCTGCACAACAAAAGAAATGGTCACCAAATTAAAGAGGCTGCCCACAGAGTGGGAAAAAATCTTTGCAAGCTATACATCTGACAAGGGATTAATAACCATAATATACAGGGAACTCAAAAAGCTAAACTCCCAAAAAATCAATGACCCAATGAAGAAATGGGCAAATGAACTGAACAGAGCCTTTTTAAAAGAAGAAGTCCAAATGGCCAAAAGAAGAAGAAATGCTCAACATCCCTGGCCATAAAGGAAATGCAAATCAAAACCATGTTAAGATTCTATCTCGTTCCTGTTAGAATGGGTACTATCAAGAACATAAATAATAACAAATGTTGGTGAGGATGTGGGAGAAAAGGAACTCTTCTACAACTGTTGGTGTGAATGTAAATTAGTAAAATCATTATGGAAAAGAGTGTGGAGGCTCCTCAAAAAACTAAAAGTAAAACTGCCATATGATCCAGTAATTCCACTCTTTTGATATA